GGATCACATCAGTCGGAGCGCCCCGGATCGGCGGCACTGGCCGAAGGCCACTACAATATTCCCTTTTCTATATTTTTATAATTCCGGGAATGCGGAACCCCCCCCCCCCCGAAACGGGACCCCCCGGATCCGTGCCACGGGGACGGCCGAAAATCCTTTCCAAGGCGTGCACGCAGGCGGGCGGCAGTGCCAAATCGGTCGGCGCAAGCCCACAGAGACACCCAAGACAGCCCAGGATAGCACCTGGGTGCGCCCCCTCTCAGTTCCCCCCGGCCACGCCGCAGAGAAAATGACGAACCACTTCTGTTAAAATTTCTGACCGATGGCGACGGCGGCGTTGGCGGGTCCGCCGGAAGCCGCCGAGGGCCCTCGAGGGGCCCCGAGCGGTCTCTGTCAGACAAAGGCTTCCGCCCTCCTAAGCCGCCGATCGGCGACGCCTGCGGCGGCGGCGGCGGCGACGGCGGCGGCGACGAACGGCCGTGGTCATCGCCGCCCTCCTCCGTCCTCCTCCCCCCTCCCTCCCACCTCCCTCCCTCCATCCCTCTTGCTAAAAAATCCGCCGGCCCCTCGGCGTAAGTCCCGTCGGAGTAAGTGGGGCGCTGTCGTCGTCGTCGTCGTCGTCGCCGCCAGTCCCAAGAAAATTGAAGAGGAACAGAGAAAATTATCCCGGCAAAACAACCTAACAGCGATGTGTAGAAGCATATCTGAAAGCATTCCCCTTAAGATTCAGATGAAAATCCAGTTGTCGAATTCTGCTGTTCTCGCAGTCGTAGTCGCATTCGCGATGACAGTCCTCCTCCTCCTCCTCCTCTTTCTCCTGCTCCTCCTCCTCCTCCTTCTCCTCTCCTCCTCCTCCTCCTCCTCCTCCTCCTCTTCCTCCTGCTCGTCCTCGTTCTCGTCCTCCTCGTCTTGCTCGTCCTCCTCCTCCTGGTGCTCTCTCCTCCTCCTCCTCCTCCTCCTCCTCCTCCTCCTCCTCCTGGTGGTCCTCGTTCTCCTCCTCCTGGTGCTCTCCCCCCCCCTCCTCCTCCTCGTCCTCCTCCTCCTCCTCCTCCTCGTCCTCCTCCTCCTCTTCCTCCTCCTCCTCCTCCTCCTCCTCCTCCTGGTAGTCCTCCCCCTCCTCCTCCTCCTCCTCCTCCTCTTCCTGGTCGTCCTCGTTCTCGTCCTCCTCGTCTTGCTCGTCCTCCTCCTCCTGGTTGTTCTCTCCCTCCTCCTCCTCCTCCTCCTCCTCCTCATCCTCCTCCTCCTCCTGGTGGTCCTCGTTCTCCTCCTCTGGTACTCTCCCCCCCCTCCTCCTCCTCCTCGTCGTCCTCGTCCTCCTCCTCCTCCTCCTCTTCCTCCTCCTCCTCCTCCTCCTCCTCCTCCTCCTCCTCCTCCTGGTACTCCTCCCCCTCCCCTCCTCTCCTCCTCCTCTTCCTGGTCGTCCTCCTCCTCCTGGTCGTCTCCTCTCCTGCTCGTTCCTCCTCCTCCTGTCGTCCTTCTTCTCCTGCTCCTCCTGCTCCTCGTCCTGCTCCTGCTCGTCCTCGTCCTCCTGGTCTTGCTCGTCCTCCTCCTCGTCGTGCTCTTGCCCCTGCTGAAAATGTGGCCCAGGAATGGGAGTTCTGGGAAGTCGAAGAGCACGAAGTGCCTACAGTTGGCTCCGGGCATTCAAAATGTGGCCCGGGAATGGAGTTCTGGAACTCGAAGACCACGAAGTGGCAGTTGGCTTCAAAATGTGGCCCGGGAATGGAGTTCTGGGAACTCGAAGAGCACGAAGTGGCCTACAGTTGGCTCCGGGCATTCAAAATGTGGCCCGGGAATGGAGTTCTGGGAACTCGAAGAGCACGAAGTGGCCTACAGTTGGCTCCGGGCATCCAAAATGTGGCCCGGGAATGGAAGTTCTGGGAACTCGAAGAGCACGAAGTGTGTGACTGTTGCATCCGGCCTCCAGAATGTGGGCCGGAATGGCGTTCTGGGATCTCGAAGAGCACGAAGTGTGTGACTGTTGCATCCGGTTATTCAGAATGAGCCTGGGAATGGAGTTCTGGGAACTCGAAGAGCACGAAGTGTGTGACTGTTGGTGAAAAACGAGGTGGACTCAACCCGCCCGGCAACTCCCAACACCTGCCCGGACCCACCTGTGGAGTGATCTGTGAGCTCTTTTGAGTCCACTAGAAACCTATCAGTCTTCGCTGTTAGGTAAAAAACGTCGTATCTGAGTTAGTTCCCTTCCCTCCCTTCCCTGACCGGGGGGGTACTGTGGGGCACGGGATGGGCACGGAAGGGGTACGGGAGGGGGTGCGGGATGGGGCCCCGGCTCAGATTACTACCCTTCGGGGGGTCCTGGCGGGTCTGGGAAGCTGGCCTCAACTGTGGGCAGGGAGGAAATCCGAGGGCGACTTAGAACCTCTTTAAAAGTGCCTTAGAGGTTCCTGAAAGGCTCCTTAGAAGCTCCTCAAAGGTTCTTCAAAAAAGCTCCTTACCGGTTGCTTAAAGGTTCTTTTAAGGTTCCTGCTGAAGATTCCTGAAGAGTCCTCAGGGCCCCTGACAATTTCGAAAGGCTTCCTGAAGGACTCCTCAAAATATCTGAACATTTCTAAAAGGACTCCTGAACAAATCCTCAAGATTCCTGTGGATTCCTGAGGTTTCCGGAAGGATCTCTTGTGGGTTCTCAGGAACCCGATGGATTCTTGCAGATTTTTTGGGTTGCTGAGGGATTCCTGAAAAAATCCTCGAGGATTCCTGCAGATTCCTGAAAGATTCCTGCGGCTTCCTGCGAGCGCGGGCCTCTCTGGGCCCCGAGGGCGACGCTTCCCATGGAAGCGTTTCATGCCTTCGAGGGTCCGGGGAGCCCCCGAACCCACGGGGAGGGAGAGCGTGGCCGAACGGGTCACCTTGCCCTCCGCCGCCGCCGCGCAATCGGTCGGTACCCGCCTACTTTCATGCGGGCGCGGGGTCCCCCACCCCCCCGAGGACGACGCTTCCAATGGAAGCGTCTCGTGCCTTCGAGGGTTCGGGGAGCCCCCGAACCCACGGGGAGGGAGAGAGTGGCCGAACGGGTCACCTTGCCCTCCGCGGGGCCCTCTTGGGGACCTCTTGGGCCCTCCGCGAGAGTGGCCGAACGGCTTCCTGGAGGCCCTCTTGGGGGCCTCTTGGGCCCTTTTGGGCCAGCTTCGAGCCAACTTCGGCCATCTTGGTGGGTTCCTGGCACGTCTGAAGCCGTCGGGAGCCGTTTGGGGGGCCTTTCTGGGCCAACGGGGGACCCTCTTGGGGCGCTCCAGGGCCGTCTTGGAGGCCATCTTGGGCGTCTTGGAGGCCATCTTGGGCGTGTTGGAGGCCTCTTGGGCCCTCTTGGGGCCCTCTAGGGGCCATCTTGGAGGCCACTTGGGCCATCAGGGGGCTCTCTTGGGGGCCTCTTGGGCGATCTTGGGGGCTTCTTGGGCCGTCTTGAGCCGTCGGAGAGCCGAAAAGGCGCAAATGCCAAAATCCTTCAAAAACCAAGGGAAAATCAATGATTTTGGCCTCTTCGGACTCTCCTGGAGGACCTCTTGGAGGCCTCTTGGGCCGTCTGGGAGGCCTCTGGGGGGCCTCTTGGGCCGTCTTGGGCCGTCTTGGACTCTCTTGGGCCGTTTTGGAGGCCGTCTTGGACCATCTCGGGCGGACTTGGAGGCCATCTTGGGCCATCTTCGCGATTTTTTGAGGATGTCCCGAGCGAAACGGCCGTTTTTTGGAGGATTTTTTCCGGTCGTTGAGCACGTTTCCGGGTGGCCGGCGGGTTCTGCCGGAGCCCACTGGGGAGTTCTTTTGGAAAAAGAACCAAAACCAAAACCTGAAACATCCAGCACGCCGTGCACCCCTGCAAGCAGGGGGCGGCGGAAACTGATTTTCCCAAGGTTTTTGATGGATTTGGGCATTTCCCTTTTTTCGGCCTTCCGACGGCCCGAGACGGCCCAAGAGCCCCCAAAGATCGCCGAAAGATCGCCCAAGAGGCCTCCAAGACGGCGACGATGACCATCAAGACGCCCACGTGTTCCCCGAAGGCTTTCCAAACCGATTCGGGGAACACATGGTCCGATGGCTTGGCAGCTCTGGCCTCAACGTTCGGCCACATAGGCGCTTCCACAAAGGCAGGGGGCGGCGGTGATTCGCCGTAGGCGTCTTCGATATAGTTCTCTATAAGAACACAAGAAACAGAAAGAGGAGAGAGACAATCAATCAATGGGCGGGAGAGGCGATCAATCAGGGAAGAGAGGTCAATCGTATCCATGTTGGGTAGTGGTGCAATGCAATCATTGAGCGGGAGAGGAAATCGACCAGGGAAGAGAGGTCAATCGTATCCATCTGGAGTAGTGGTGCAACGAGGCCGGGGTGCAGTGGAGAAGGAGCGGGGGTATCCAACCATCGGGCGCCACGGAGGAGGTGCGCCGTGAAACACCGCGGCTGGACCCCCCGACCCCACCTGTCTGTGCAGGACGTCGCAAGCCGGGGCGGTCTGTTAGGATCCCATTGCCTGAGGCAGGACGAGCATTCAGATGTTCGGGGGCGTCGTAGAGGGGGGCGTCCAAGAGGGAACTCGATCACGGCGCGAGGCACGTGCGTGGCCCCAGGGGGTGCCAAAGGACGTACTGAATTCAGAAAAAGGGGTCCACGAAATCAGGGGAGATAGCATGGCCTCGGCCCTGCTACCCACCCGCTCTCTGATCATCACCCCCCCCCTCTTGGCCGCCCCAGGAATCCGGACGACCATTCAAACTTCCGGCGTCGCTGTTCCTCGTGACGCTGGGATTCGCAGACCCCGGCGTCGTGTGTTTCTCAGAGCACTGCTCCCCGGTGGCCTCGACCCTCTCCCTAAGACCAGGCTCTCGTCCCGCGGTCTTCTCACTGGTGCACTCCCGGGGCCCGGCGAGGGCCCCCACAGGCCGAAAGCAGTCAAGAGCCCGCCATCCTGATCCCCTCTCACGACGCGCGGGTTTCTGGGTCTCGGATGATCGTCCGAGGTCGCAGCCGACTCAGCATCGCTGGAC